CTGCTTCCCTTTGTACTATTTTTTTAAAAATAATTCTATGTTAACATTTAAACCAAAAAAAGGGTGACTAGAAAAAAAAAAAACAAAACAACACAAGAAAAGTTTTTAATATTTATTTGCAGGAAACAAAGAGGAGGGATTCAAAAAAGTTTCACTGAGGGTGTTACAAAGATGAGGTAAATACAGGGAACAGTACTGAGAGGATAATATGGTAGATATTAACACTGTATTATATGTAAAGTTTTTACTTCAAAGAGGTGGAAAGTACAGATGGACAGAGGTCAGTTGTAACATACAGAATAAGCATGATACATGCTACAGGGCTGTGAAGATTATCACAGGTCTGGAGCACCTCTCTTAGGAAGACGCTGAGGGAGCTGAGTTTGTTTAGCTTGGAGAAGAGAAGGCTCTGGGGAAACCTTGTTGTAGGCTTCCAATACTTGAAGAGCGCTTATAAGCAAGAGGGGAGAGCAGCTCTTAAAAAGAGGGAAAATTTAGGCAAGATCTCAGGCAGAAATTGTTTACTCAGAGAGTGGTAAGGCACTGGAACCATCTGCTCAGAAAAGCTGTGGATGCCCCATTCCTGGAGGCATTCAAGGCCAGGTTGGATGGGGCTGTGGCAACGCTGCGAATGGCATGGTGTTGGAACTGGATGGTCTTTAAGATCCATTCCAACCCAAACTATTCTATTATTCTGACAACATAGGCCACTAAAGTGACTTGATGCGAAAGGATACAGAATCAGCACATTACAGCTTTTAAAAAGTATTTAAAGATGCCAAAGTTAGAATGTAGGAGAATAAAAGGAGAAAATCATAAAATGGTTAAGCTGAGAAATCGAAAGGTGAGAATTGCAGAAATACTGAAAGAAACATCACCATTTTCCCGCAGAGCTGTAGGTCATTTTGGTGTATATAGTATTCTGTTAACTATACCAGCTTATTTGCCAACTGTTTAAAGTACAAATTGTCACTTACCCCATCAATTTCTTGTGCTGAAAAAACAATCAGCAGCCACCTGATTTAAGAGAAGGAGAAAGCTAGTTTACAACTAAACTTGCAATATCCAACCTTCACAAAAACGTTCCCTCTAAAAATAGGAAGTATGTACACATGGTTGGGGTGATTATTTAGTAAAAGTGTGTTTTTAAAGGATCTGCATCATCAATAAATGGTCAACACATCCTATGTAATTTTATCCTTTTGGATGCATGGGACTGAGTATTTACATATGGGGATGAGTAAACGATGTGAGATGATTCTGGGGCAGGCATTCAGGTATGAGTTTGACATTACTTTCACTTCTACAAATAAGTTAATTACTTGGTTATAGGAACATCTTTCCTCTTAAAACAGATTTAGAATTAGATTTCCAGTTTTCTACTGTTTAAACAACGTAGAACCTGAAATTTAAATGGTCTCAATTTACAGACAGATGAAAATCTAATATAGTAAATTACTTGATATGCTTATCGAATTTATGACAGTCTACAGATCATTTAACTGGTGATTACTGTTCAATTGACAGCTAAGAATGTATCTTAGCGACTCTAGCTAAAGATTTTAGTGATCTGTAAAACTTACCAGGCAGTTCTGATAAGCCACTTAATTCGTTCAAATGAATCCTTTGTTAACGCCATTTACATTGATTGATGGACATGCAGCACTTTTTTTCTGTTTTATAAACCAACCAGCAGCTCTTCTGTTTTCTTCTGTGTGCAGATGGTCTATAGATACCACTCCATCCTGTTGTTTTTTTCTCCTCTGAACCTGTTTCAGATATATAGATGTGTATATCTGAGGTCCAATTTTACATGAAAAATTACTGGAAAACCAAAATGTGTTACCTATTTAAATACACCATAATGCACAGCTTTATATTGTCACTACATTATACTGCCCCTTTACAAGCAACCTTTTTATCAGCTATCCATTTATTTTGAGACATCTATACACAGATCAACAAGAGAAGGGTACAAGGTTTCGTTCCAGAAAAAAAAATAAGTCTTCCACAGTAATGAACAAAAAGCATCTTGCATAATTATTTTTTAAAAAACAGTCATACTCACTGATTGTTCTAAAAACTTTAGGAATAAGATGTGACACATTTCCACAGTAAGGGCCTAATGAACTTCGAAAGTATATATATATTGTGTCTGCACTTTCATGACCAGATTTAGCAGTATCTTCTGCAAATTGGGCTGGAGTAGGCATTTGTGTAGGCATCTATATGTGACAGGCTGGGCTTTTCCTATGGTGCTACCAATTTTCAGTCTTTTTTCAGAGCTGTCTTCTAAATCCGGGGAGGTTATTTTTGAGGTTATTGAACACTGCCTAAGCAGACAGGGATTCACTTCCTTTGGAGAAGTCTCCTGAGTAAGGAAAGGCAATCAGTTACTGAGAAGGGAGCAAGGATCTGAACCTGCGGCCAAGAGGCTGCTCTCTTTTAGCTGCTCAATAGCCGTATGTTCTTTGTAAAAGTAGTGAGTGTGCAGATACTGAAACATTACTTTCTTACTTTCTATAATTCAGTGTAACAGCTTTCTAACTAGAACTGATCTGTGGATAATATTGACTCCTATGTGTATGCACAGTATATCCATATCCCATAGTATGAAGAAGAGACTTTGTAAACAACCATGCGCTAACTAACGAATGAACAGCCTAAGGCAACCAGTCCATGCTGCAGATCACACTCTACATGTACTGAGCAGCTCTCCATTCATCTGCTAAAGTCCTACTCTCTTTCTGTGCTCCAGTTTTCTATCTGGAACACCAAAGTGATATGCAAGTGTCAGCAAAACCCAACTCATGTAATTCTCAAAAACCTGGGGAAGGGGAAGGTAGAGAAAGCTTGCACTGTAATGTAACTGTGATTTTTAGTCTCCAGAAAACAACCAAGAAGGAAGACAATTTTATAGTTATGGACTCTGATGAGATATCACCTCAGCTCCCTTGTGAGCATTTTCCCATTTTTGCTTGAAAGCGGACTTATTTTTCGGAAGTTTCCACTTGGATTTTCACCATTTAAAAACTGACTCAATAGCTTTGTATTATAACGAAATTTCATTCACTAGATCCTCTGCATATATTTATGTATTTCTTTTCATAGTGTTTTTTCTGCTTTCTTCTACTTCTGTTCCTTCCGATACTCTTTTGCCTCATATTCAAGAGCCTCCCTCTCCTTTTTAATGAGACTTACACTCCTCATCCTGTGCATGAACTTGTGCTATTCCTGAGTACTGACAGCTCTCTTCCACTGTCCTCTCATTTGCTTCCCCCTGACCTTTCTGTCCCAGACAACATCACATCTTCTCACTTCTGTGAGACTCTATGCTACTTCTCTGACTAATACCAGGTTAAATGTAAAGTGATATATTCAGGTATTTGTAAAGTGGAGGTGCCTTTGGCTTATGAACAACTCCAGGCCACATTGTTATACTTATGACTTTTTTTTTTTTCTTTCTTTTTTTACCTATTTCCATACAGTATTCCTGCATGAAAAGCACAGCACAGTTGACAGGTGTAGTAATCTCACACATGAAATAGGAAAATTTACTAATTCCTTCCCTGAGATATGATTTTCTCAGTGTGGTTACCACCTATCTGGCTTGCAAAACATTTTATTTTTCCCCCCAGTTTCTCTATCCCTGCCAACTTGCTCTTACTGATGCTTGGGATTTGAGAATGAAGGTGACTGCATCTGCTGTGATGCACAAGGTCTCTGACATTCTGCTCTGTTCTCCCAGAAACACATTTCTGCTGCTAGTCTCAAACTCTTGGGAGCAGCAGCTCCAATAATTGGCTTTCATGGCAGACTTCATAGAGGCCAACAGTACCTTCTCTGAATGGAGATCTGGTTCTGCTGCCCTCATGTCCACACAAGCAGCTGTTCTACAGAACTCAGTGGCTGCTTTGTGCTCCTTGAAGACTCTGGATTTCTATCACACCAGTAGTCCTAATCAACTTTATGTACCTGTTGTTATATAGTGAGGCCTTTATGTATCACTTGTAGTGCTTTTTGAGGCCTCTGATGCAGGATGCCCTGTACAGTATTCAAGAACACTACAACTATGATGGCTGTGGCCTTGCCAGCTCTTCTCTGGTTCGCTATCTCTGAACAGCACTCAGGTAAGATGCCACATTGTACACGCAGCATTTTTGTCGAAATTAAAAATATAATAGTTTCCATCTTGCCGCCACTCTACAAATCACATTTCAATCGAGAAAACCTTTCATTACTGTGCGAGAAAGCCCGGGAAGAAGCACTTCTCACCAGCTCACGTCTATGCAGCGGAAGACGCTTTCTCTCGTTAGCCGCCCCATCAACAGCAGTTCCTCACGGAGGAAGGCGGCAGCGCCGTCGGAGGGCGAACGCTCCCGCAGGGCAGCAGCAGCAGCCGGCGGCAGCGCCCGGGCGCGGCGCTGAGTCCCGCCGTGCCGCCGCTCCCCTTCGCGCTTCACCCTCCGCCCGCGCTCCTGCCCCGCTGCCACCTGCTCTCCCCTCCGGGGCGCTACGGAAATCCCGCTCCGGGCGGTCCCGCGCTCGCTGCCACGGTGGTAAGGCGAAGAGAGGAGGCGAAGAGCCGTACCCCGAGCCGCCTGCGCTGCCCCGCGGCGTGCCCAGCCTGGGGGTGCCGCGGCCAGGCGGGACAGCCTCAGGTAGTGCCGCCAGGGGCTGCCCCTCCGTCGCTCACCTCAGTTCCAGGCGGGAAAGCTCCGGGCTCCTCGCTCGCGCTGCGCCCGCTCAGGGCGGACGGACGGACGGACGGACGACGGCTGCCCGCGGTGCCCCAGGCAGGAGACACGGGGGGGGGAGGGGGGAGGAGGAGAGGGGTGGCCCGAACGGCCCCGCCCCGTCCAGCCCTGCGCCCATCCCGGGGAGCGGGGAGCGGCGAGGAGGGTGCGAGGCGGCAGCCCCGGGGCCAAAAGCCGCGGGCGGGCCGGGGGCAGAGTTCGGGTGCGGGGCCGAGCTCCGCGGGACGCCGCGCGAGCAGCGGGATGGCGGGCGGGGGCTGCCCACAGCGCCTGGCGCTGCTGCTGCTGCTCGCCCTGGGCCGCGCCGCGGCTGAGGTGAGTGCGCGGGACGGAACAGCGGCGCGAGCTCCCACGGGGCAGAGCGGTGCCCCTCGGCATCGCGGCAGTGGCGGTCGCGAGGGAGACGCGCGAACGTGTTGCGCGGTGAAACGATGCACCGCAGCCTCGCGAAGCACGTCTCGCCCGCGTGCGGCGTACCTGAGCATCGCCCCGGTACCGTTACCTCGCACGGCGCTCGGTCGCGGTTCGCGCACGGGAGCGAAGCAGCGGTTCTCCCGGAGCCGCACCCGGGCGCGGCCCTTCTCGCCCCTCCCCGTCGCCCGAGGGCTCCCTGCGGCGCTCCCCGGGGCTCGCGGCGGCTGCGGGGCTCCGCGCGGGCGCGGGGCGCTGTGTGGGTGAGGCGGCCCCGAGGGAACCGCGAGGCAGCGCCTTCCGTCTGCAGCGCCTGCCACTGCTTTGCTGCAAACTCGCCGTGGAGCCCGGTTTGTCGCTCGGCTCTGATGCACGTGCATCACTGTCGGTCCGTTTGTTCTCCTTCAGTCTTTGCTGAGCCTTTCTCCTCTATTTGGCTGTAACAGTTCGATAGGTGTTGCCAACTAGCTATAGGGCAAACTGGGCGGTGTGGCATTTTTGGTACGTGTCCTCCAAAAATCTGCTGGTTTCAGAAAACCTCAAGTTCTGTTTTGCCAAACAATTACCAATGGTATTGATTCCTCCCTGCGTGTTCTCACTGCGTGTGGAAACACTGTCAGTCACCTTTATAAGAAAACTTTCAGATCATCTACTCAGTTGCTGCTGTTGTTGCTTGTGCTGTAAAGATTAAGCAAAGCAAAGTAATTAGTAATGATATTTCTTTTAAGATATTGCAGCTATTCCATCCACTTAGTGTGGGTAAGGAGCCTAGAAACAGAACAAGCACCTCGATATCATGTGTTCTTTCATGGCGCTCTGAAATTAACTCTCGGACAAGTTTAGTCATTTAACAATGATCCAATTGTTTTGTTTATGAAGGAATTAAAATACCTCTTGGTTCTTATGTAGAACAGAGGTACTGAATCTGTTTGCCATTTCAGTAAATTACTAACTTTGTGCTAAGTTTTTTCAGGTTTTGCATAGAAAGCACGATCAATAAACTCAGTGTCTCTGTCTTTCACCTAGTTTGCTCTTCTTGATTCCATTCTCATGCCTTGCTGGTACCCCTCATGACCTTAATTGCTCCTAGGACACGAATATCATCATATATGCTTCTGGATGGCTCATAAGAGCATAGGCTGCATGCCAGGAACTCCTCCCACAGCACATACTTTCTTTAAGCTTTTATTCTGGATACGTAGATCTATGTTGTTTTGTTGCTTTTTTTTTTTTTTTTTCCTACCAGGGAAGGAAAAAGGAGATGTCCTGAGCAGAGACCACATATTTCTCAGTAAAGCACTTCACCACTTTCTAGCAAGCCTGTACAGTACTAATCTGGAGTATTTGCCAGTCTTTCTGCCTTTTTGCCAAGGGTAAATCATGAAGCTCCCAGCCTTCTGGAACACTGTCATAAGTAGATCCTTGTTTACGTTTCTGTCTTAAGGGCTGGATATGGGATGGTAAGAAGTGTCTGCACTTCAAGTTTTCTACCAGTTTTGCTGTTCAGGCAAAGCTTGACTACAAAGTACTGATTCAGTGATGCCCTGACAATTCAGGGGATTTCAGTTGTCTAAGATCAGTTAAAACTATATTTACAACAGATAACAGAGATCAGTTTATAATTCAGCTGTCACAGTTTCTGGGTTGGGTATTTTGGTACAAAAATGCTGATATTTTTGGAGGGAAAATTCTGTTCTAAGAATTTTTTTTCTAGACGATGGAGGAAATCAGTATTTTAAAACGAGCAGCTTCATTTGAACTCATAGTTTATGGCTAATGTTAACTGGCATAAAGTGAGTTATTATAGTAATTGAATAAATCACTGCATCTGGAATGCAGTGCCCATTACAAAGAAAGAGTGTGTTTTAAAATTGTGCTACACATTCATACAAAAATAAATTGATATCTGACAAGTAATCATTATTTTTGCTGCATGTGTATGTTGTAAGATGTTTTAATATAGGCAAATTTTTAGTGTATGTTTTTTTATTACTCAGTAAGTGATTTATTCCCAAATACAAGAAATAAAATTATTAATTTGTGCCTGCTGCTGTTTATATAGTGAATTTTGGTCTTCACAATCATGACTTCTCTGTCATTAGCAGCTTGAATTTTCTGGCACATAGTAGGGAGTATTATTATCTGCATTCCTGGCCACTGGCATGCTCTAATCACATCTTCTGAAAACTCAGCAGAAGTAGCATCTTCCCATGTCAAAGGCTTTCAGCTTATTTAATGTATTCCTTCACTCCAAATACTGATGTTATAATCCTTTGGATTTTCCCACTGTTCTTATTAAATACTTCAGAATAATAGGAGAAAAAAATCATTTTTAGTCAGGGAACAAGATCTTTCTAATTCCTCTAATATATTTTATTCATCTCAGAAAAAAATGAAGAGATTTTATTTTCCACTATTTCATTTTAACAGCAGCTGAAGCTGGTACTATCTTGATAGAAGTGTATAATCCAATTCTCTCTGTTGTTACCATTCATGCTTTTCTTTCATGTTTTAGAGTGATGAATATCTTGAAATGAAACATGAATCTAAGCAGTGTTCCCTGAAATTTGCTGTAGCAAATGAGAGTAATAAGAAAAATACGTTGGTCAAAGTCATTAATTCTGAATCAGTGCTGCTTCTTAGTGGCATCATTCATTTTTGTGATAACACCATGTCGTTCAGGAGAAAAGATTTCTACTTGAACAGGATTACTTGGTTGTAAGATGCTCATCACCTCACATCACCTGTATTGTTATTGTAACACAATTATTGTATTAGCTCACAGGATGAAGTCAAGTATTGTGTATTTTGTACTTACAGCAATCGTTATTCTTTGCATTTTTGTCATTGTTGCAAAGGAGGAGAGATAGCAAATTTAGTGACTACAGAGCTCAAGAAGATCTTTTTTCCATCCTCTTTCTCCCTTTATTTGCAACCTGTGTGTATTCCACAATTAATGTGTATATTCCACAATTAATTTCTTTTTTCCATGGATAGGATTCACAGGCAAATACTTGTAAGCTTTTCTTCTTTTTGCAATGCTTAATATCTGTTTGTTTGATTGGTTTTCTAATTATATACAAACTATATTACTATCAGAAGTAGGTCTTAATGTATGGCTCTGGGAGCGAACAGTACAATGTTCTAGCTCAGACATGAGCATCTCTAAGCCTGCTAAGAATGGGATGCAGGCTGACTGGCTTTGTGTAGCCAGGGATCAAAATGCTAGAAGGACAAAGCAGTGTCACGGTGAAAACGTTCCTTTTCTGCCTCCTTTGGAAGCATCCAGGCTCTCTGTTGCACAGAGCAGCTGAGAAGGGAAGACATGCACCTGAATATACAAAAGAGAGTTCACTGAGCATGTTAGAAAAACAAGTTCTTTGTGAAGTGCTCTTTTTGACTTGGTTCATATGATCCCAAGTCTGAAGTCAATGGGGGTGTTACTTCGATAATTGGGCCTAATTTATACTAGACTATTCTGGTCCTGATTGCATCTGTAATTAGTTGTTATGCAGCCATTGTCTCTGTAGAGAAACAGGCCAGTGTCAGAGTGCTGCTGAACTGTTTTTCTCACTGGGCCACAATCAGGGTTAGCATAAATTGGCACAGTTACCTTCATGCATCAAAACTGGTGGAGTTCTGCTCTCTTATGCCATGTGTGAACTTGCTTTGGTGGCCAAGAAAAGTGAAGTGTTCAGTTAGAGCTGTTTGCTACAGCATACAGTTGAAAGATGCTGAACCTCACTAGGGTTTCCTTGTAAAACACTTGTGAAACATGAACTGCTAACACTTACTGTTGTTTTTTTTAACAAATCTGCAAAAAATACACATTCAAACAAAACTGTATAATTCCAGTTATATTGCTGAGTGAATAATATTAAAATGACCAAAGTTAGCAGGTAAACATTGGTTCTTTTTTCATTGATTTGAATTTCTTACAGAAATAACAGCATTTTATATTGAGGTCTTTGCTGGTGATCTGTTCAGCAGTACCTAGAGCTGGTTTATCATAACAGGTCTGTGAAACAAAATACTTTGCTATTAAGGGCAGCTCTTATGGGATGTCCGGTCATCTGTTTTACTGTCACATTCTCACCCTGCTGCCTAACAAAGTAACAGTAGAAGGCTCAGTGTGTTGGCATGGATTACAGGAGCCTGGGAGGAAGGTGAAATACAAACAGGCTTTTTTCTTCTTAACCGTGTACAGGCCCTGCCTCTCTTGTGCACAGAAAAGTTTCTATTTTGCCACACTGAGTATTATTAGCTTTATTTTCTTTACTTGTCTTCTATTTTAACTTAGCAGTTTTATGGTAGAATACAAGACTCACAGGTTTAGATGTGTTCCATTTGGCTTGGTTCAGTGAAGGCTTTTTAATTGGGGCTTTAAGCTGCACTTTTTCCACAATTTGTTTTGGAGGAAGCTGCAAGAAAAGTCAACCTTTCTTGTTTTGTTTTTGTTTTAAATCTGTGAAATCACAAAGCCTTTTAAAAAGGAAAAACCAAAGCTTTCTGTGAGCAAGGCACTGTTGCTTTCATAGCTATTTGCACCACTTAACAGAAGATGCACACCAGGAATTCTATGAATATACAAATATACAGGCCTGAGGAGACAACATTTATGGTGAATACCATTCCCACACTTAACAGCTGGGAAGAAATACAGTGTGTGATATAACACTGATCATATTAAGGTAGAATAGCAAAAAATAGCTGGTTAAATTATCTGATTTATTTATTAGATTGTTCATTTAAGATGACTCTCTCTTAGAAAGGAAGAGCATGGATGAATAAGCTATTAAACACCCTTGAGATTTTGCTGTGCAGAAAATTCTGTGACTTGAGTTGCCTAATCTTTTTTTCCCTGTGGAAAGGAAGAATATTTGTTTGTGTTGTCCCTTTGTTCT